CTCGTGTGCGCAACGTGTGCCCCGCACCCTTTTCTTTTTCTAGTCCCTTCCCGTGTTAAACTCGCTTCTTGATTTTAGGGGAAACAACTGACTGCAAGCAGTCTAGAATGACTTTTTCACGAAGAACAAACAGAGAAAGAAAGAGATAAACGCAGAAATGTTCTTCGTTTAGTTACAATTGCCTCCTCAGGATTTAAGCCGAACACACTACTAATAAACTTACTCATTTTCAAGCTGCAGTTGTTCCTGGAGACGAGTAATACATTCCTCTGCTTCTTTTAACTGCTTTCTTAGCTTTCTGTTGGACAAAAAAAGTTCATTATCGACTCGATAACGTAGTTTTCAAATTCTTAGTACTTTCAGTTGGTAAAACATTTTTAATTATGGTCTTTTTTTGGAATCGGAAAAACGTGACTGAATACCATAAAATTTCACTTGCCTTATGTAATCCTTTTTTCTCTTTTCTCTTCGACTTATAAGAACTCCAAGCTAGTCCCATTTTAACTGTTCACGTTGAACTTCTCAAACAAAATTAGAGAGCTTTAAAAGAGACGGCTAACAAGACGCTTCTCTGTTTGCGAATAAAGTGTTTTACATTGTGACATAACAAAGGAGAGGAAAATGCGCGCGCTGCAATAAGCCAATCAGATTCAGCCACAACAGCCGTCATTCAAGCGCGAGCAACACGGCGAACAATGAGCATATCAGGAGTTATATATCGGTAAGTAACGGATAACATGAAAAAAGAAAGGAAGAAGGTTTCTGAGCAATTGACACAAATGCGCAAGAAAAAGGAATCAAAAGATCGTTGGATTGCTAAGATTGTGAAGATGTCGTAACCGTTCTAGCGCGCGCAATACTTGACAGTTCTTCAGTTCGCGGATGGCGCATCTACAAAAATAGACTTTCTAAAAGTCCTTTCCAATAAGTCTTCCCTGGCTTGTTGGTTTCGCCGTTGAAAAGGACTTTTCTCACTTGCAGCGCGCCAAATTTACCGGTGGATTTTTCCACCGGTGACGTAAATACACTTTAACCAATGAACAAACAAATACTGTCTTAAGGTGGCCCGTACCAGTTTTCAGGTTTTTGACGGCTCATAACTTTGTAAGAAATGAACAAAAAGGCAGACCAGGGCCACTGTAATATTTTTGTAGGTTTGGATTATATTATAAATAAGTTGTTATTTTGTCGTCAGCAGTTACCATGGCAACATTCTAAAAGGATTTTCCAGACCTGATTTTTCGCTTATGTCACTAATGACTAAAAAATTAACCCGGTGACCCCAAGTTTTTTTCAATCAACAGCTTTTGGCATCTGAAAATGAAAATGCACGACAATTTTAAAATAATTTTACGGAGCCGATTTCTTGTAAACTTGGAAAAACGACAATTTGCACAAAGTACAAATTTCCCTCCGGAGAATTTTTTT